GTCTTTTGTTAACACAACGTACATACCTCGACTTACACCACCAACATTGTTTCCCAGGACAATGTATCACTATATATAAAACATATGGTAACGTTAACGCATCTGTTACATATCATAATTATAATTTGAACGTAACTTGGTTTTAGTATATCTGTATAATTATGTAGTGACTGGTCCTAAATTAAAATAGACTTGAAATCCATTCTCTCTTTTAAAACCACCCGAATATTACACTACACATTTTATGTCACTATATATAATGTGCATGCATGCATACATGAAAAAGATACATGATACATGTAATTGCAAGTGTGTGTATTATATGAAAAGGAGATACGCGTGTGTACGGAGTTGTACCAACGAGGTAATGAGAAATATTGGCCCCTCGTGAGCCCAAAGGAGAATACTTAACGATAGTGTGTGTAATATATGACAAGGAGATATGCTTGAGCTAATCAGCTAAACCTTAACGTTGACCCCATAAGGTTTACGAAATTAAACTTGAAAACCTCAACTTTGATTTCCTTTTACAGCTCATTTCTAATCATTAAAACTAAAAAGGTATGTGAACAAATTACGACCCACACAATAAGATTTACATTTACTGGTATTTAGCTCTTAGACGTAGCAAAAGAAAAGTGCGATATACACATCCTCATGAAGTGATTATCCGACCCTACGCCCGTCTTACAAGTTTACAACTATGCTATGGCTTCTTTCGTTTAAGGAATTTTTTTGTTTTTCTGAACAACAGAGACTCCTTTGCAATTTAATAATTAATAAGTTTCGTATATTCGTATTTTTAAAACATGCTTTTTTGTTATGAACCACATATCGAATAAATAAATTTCTAGAATGTAAATTTTCTTGATATAATCACAAAATTGTAAGAACTTATAATGTAAATACTTCAAGAAAAATTGTGAATTTAAATATTCGGATATATATCTATCAACTATGTATCAGAATACTATATATTTTCTATCCCACATAAATATAGGCTGCTCCAACTGGTGATCATTAGAGGAACATACACGAACGAAAAGGAAAAAATGAAGAGAAATTAAACAGTAGGAATATAATTGATTTCTTAAGCGATGATCAACCTTAAGATAGAAAATTAGGGGTGAAAAAAACAGAACTTGGGTAGATGTCGCCATGTCGGTTATAAAGTACCGTTACGGTACACTACACAGCTGTGAACCACTGAACTGACTCGTCACAACTCATCGAGAAAACGGCGACGTTTTTGTCCCTAATCGCTTACCTTACTTCCTAGACGTTTCCTGAAAATTCTCTCTTACAAAATATTAAAATAATCTATTTGCAAAAGACAGTCACTGGTCTCTTGTCTAGACAGCAATGCAAACAGTGTGATAATCCCAAAATACAATAAATAAATTCGAATATTCGTTTTTAATTATGAGTTAAAGTAAAATAGGAATAAAATGAGGGTGATGTGTTGTTTTTGTATACAACATTACAAATTGGAAGTGGAATGTGAGCGATATCTCTACATCAGAAATCACTATCTTTTGTTCCACACTTTGGTTTTTGGGGTTTAGACCATACGGTTTTGAGAGAATTGGAGATCCCACCATGCAAGAGAGTGGTATTATCATCACATGTAACTAATGTCTTCACTATGTGGAAACGTATACCTGCGATCGACCAGAAACTAGGTCTAAATGGGGACAAGTAGCTAGTGTTGCGTTTTGAGCTGTCTATTAGTAGAATTTTGTTTTTAAAATATCCTTAGAGCTTTTGCAGCGAGTAATAACAAAAAAACAATAATCACTTTATATGATTTTTAAAAAAAAAGGGAATAGCATGATCGCCATGAACGCTTTTTATCCGCTGTGAAAACATATAGTGTTCATGACATTTTAAAACGTTGGTTTTTCTTTTACTGCGTTCATGCGTTTCATACTGGTCGTTAATTAAGTGCATGGTGTTGATGCTCATAACTTTTCTTATACACCGTTTAAACGCCTTAAACGGTTGCATGATTAATTGTATTTTTATACATTTATAATAGCACATTGATCCTTACCACTAAGTGGTATAGCCGTATAGGGATCGTGCCGCAATCGTTACCTTACCATCTTTTTGGTTTCCTGTGAGCACCGAAACCAGCGGTTGATAACATTAGCTGTTTTAGCGGTTGAGGCTGTGTTTGTAGCTGTCCTCACCGTTTTGGTTTTAACTGTCCAACACTACGTATCAAAGGACATTGAGCGTTGGGATCGTATGCTGCGTTTTCAACACTGCGGTGTATATTGCTCCGTTTTCAACAATTCAACCGATTTTTTTACCATTTTCTGATCAAATTTCTTATGGATATTATTTTGGTTGAATATTGGTAAGAAATTTTCAACTATTTTCTAACGATTTTTATCGTAAGAATTTTTTTTATCAATTTTCTACTATTTTTACTTTTTGTCATAAATTCGTAGTAAAAAACATTTTCTACCAAAATTTTTATAAGAAAATTCATAGGAATTCAATATGTTTTCATGTAGTGTATTAATTGTATTTGTATATATAATAATACATTTATAATACAAGAAAAATATATATATAAAAGTCGAAAAATGTGACGAGAAAAAAGCCCAGTGGCTTTCACATGAAAAAGAAAAGAGAAGCACTAGCACTAAGAAATCGTGGACGAAGGAAATGTGTTAAAATGTCACACGGGCACACGGCTAAAGAGTTGCAGTATATATATATTAATTATTACTAGCACCAAAACATCTACATAAATCAGTATAATATAATTAGGCCTATTGTTCTGTATAAGTCGTCGGCTCATGAATTCGATTCTTCCTCGCACGCTGTCAGTTTCACTTCCACCGTATCATCATCGTTCACTCTTGGATTTACTTTTGTCCTTCCAAAAAGAAGGAAAAACAATTGGTTTACGAAATAATCATTTTTTCCTTGATATTATGAACGATAATATTGAAAGAAAATCTGGGGAACACGCAAGTCGCTAGTGAATTAGACATACAGAAACTCATCCGATCTTTGTCTGTATCTTCTCATCCATTCTTCACCTTCAGCTTCTCATTTATATTATTTTCCATTGCCTATGGTCACCAAAGTTTTTAGTTTTTTGTACATATTTAATTTTAAGTTAATATATACTCTCTCTGTTCCAGAATAGATGATGTTTTAGAAATTTCGAAATAATAAATATGTGTTATTTTTAGTTATTTTTTTATTTTTTCATTTTCTAAATTTTTTTTTCACACACTTATTAAATAACTCTATAATCATTATGAATGAATTTTAGCTCTATCACTTGATACTATTAGTTTGTTTACTTCAAAATAATTAAATAAAATATGCTATTAAATCATTCTTGTAAAATGTAATAGCATTAAATACTTCCAAAACATCATCTATTTTGGAACAAAGAAAAATCCTAAAATATCATCTATTCTGGAACATAGGGAGTAGGAGTAGTTTGTAAAGTAAAATATTTGAAACCCATGCTTTTATTTAAAATATTATTTATAAACCCATGTGTCATATTTTTTGTTTACTTTTACTTATCTTTTCTTTATATTTCATTTATCTTTTGCTTATTTTTTTTATAATACCGAGAGATGTTTAAGTAAACAATTTAAATCATATTTATATGATTATTTATCTTTAACATGTTTCATATATATTCTTCATTTATGTTTTCGTTATATTTCATTTATGTTGTCGTTATATTTCATTTATATTTTGATTAATATTTTTCTAATATTAAGAGATGTAAAGTAAACAATTTAAGAGATGTGGTTTCTTGACCGGCGTGGTTGGTTCCTCAACGGCGTTGCTTGGGTTTAGATGATCTGTTTAGTTGGCAGTAGTAGACGAGTTTAAGGGCTTTTCTCGACTCAATTGGTGTAGGGCTTTAAGGCTCCGATTTCGGCTGCCAGTGGTTCAGTTGGCTAGATGCGGTGGTTAGGCTCAGTGTGGTTGCTTAAGGTGGTTTGGCATCGAAACCTCGGACACAATTTTTTTCCAAAATACACATAAATACAGTTATCTGGATATATAATTACTTTTAAAACATTAAATTGAAGAAATAATGCACACACAATATTAATCCATTTTCGTATAACGTACATGGATATTTTACTATGAAAGTAATAAATATATTAGAGGTGTATCTTCATATATATGTGATATAATAGATACTTTACCAAATTACAAAAACATATAACATGTTATTTTAATATATATATATATATATACATGCAAATATTTTCTCACACTAATATATTAATATGATACAATAAATATTTTAGGAATCTATTTACAACTATATGTGTATAATCTTGATGAGAGTCATGAAACCAAATATATGTTCTATATGCAAACACACGTATAATGTTATTTACATTTATATACAGGAAATCATATAATTAGTACTTTAAAACTAATATCCACATTCATCCCACATATATATCTAATTAACAGACATATATAATCTGCAAAAACAACGTCAATCAAGGATTTGGTATTAACAATCTGGAGTTGGATGGTTGCACCGATGAATAAAACGAGAGCTAGTGGGAAGAGACAGGGAGCTCGACGAGGTCATCCAATTTCGGTGGGTTCAAGTTGTGGTGATTTTTGGAGAACGACGGTCGACGACGCGTGAGATTAATAAGGGAAGAAATGGTGGCAAAATATTACCACTGTTACTTAGGACAGCGAAATGGACTTTTCATTTACTCAATTAGTTGGCCATTCGTTGTCAAAGAGTGCAATTACACAGAAATCTGCCTCTAAAAAGAAAATAAGAAAATAAGCAATAAAGACATAATAAAACAAAATTGACTATGGCTTTAACAATACACATAACCCTAGAAGTCTGTTAACAATTCACAGCCGTCGAGTGAAAAAACCAATTCAGCCTCACCAAATTTCTCAAATCATTTTACAAGTTTGTCTTCTTTTTTAATTTTTTTCACCATTACTATCATCACCATCATCACAATATGGTGTTTGCGCAAGTGAACCTTATTCGGAAGATTGTGGGAGTAATAGGTTAGTCATGATCGCTCACATCAATTTTTTTTGTAACAATTCAAAATGGCTCTCATTTATAGAAGTCGTGTTTTAATTTATTTCGAATGATCCTGGTTGCAGAAACATTATCGCTATATGTATGTACCTGTCACCAATGTAAGTTTTCGCTATATATATTACTTAATCCAAAAACAATGAAACATATATTGAAGGGTTATTCATAGAATCTTTTAATTATAATTAATTTTTCTTGAAGAAAATCAATTAAAGTTGTTTCAGTTTAAGACATGTTCCTCTTGAAAGATCTGATACTAAATAAATTCGTCACAAGACTTGTGACGTTTTTATTAAAAAAAAATTTGTGACGATTGTATTATAACAGTTTTAAAAAGGTCACTAATCAGTCATAAATTTAGTTATTGCTACGAAATAATTCTTATTGTGACTAAATATTTCGTCTCAATATACTATTTCAATATACTATTTTTCTTGTACTGTCCGTTGATATATAATTTACATTTTCGTCTAGGAAAAAAAAATTAATTCTATTTACCATTGATATATAATGTTACAATTCTACAGGCCGACGCTTATAGGGATCGTAAAGAAAAAGTCAGTGGAAAAATACTCACCAGTACATGGTTTAGCAACTCTCATAAACTATTTGGTTAGACTTCTCTATGGACTTCCTATGGTGCATCCTGATAGCACAATGATCATTACACTTAGTGGTATAGGGATCCTGGCCGCAACCATTTACCTTACCATCTTTTTGGTTTTCTGTGAACACCAAAAACAGCGGTTGGTAATATTAGCTGTTTTAGCGGTTGAGGCTGTGTTTGTAGCTGTCCTCGCCGTTTTGGTTTTAACTCTCCAACACACTACCGATCAAAGGACATTGAGCGTTGGGATCGTATGCTGCGTTGTTAACAGTATGATGTATATTGCTCCATTGTCTGTCATGGTACGTTATTTTACAATTTTTAATTTGTTTGCTTGAGTAGGTAACAACAATAACTTGTTTTTTTTGGTTAATTTTTCCCTCATTTTGTGTTAGCTAATGTTAAATGGTGCGTTTATATACGACGTAATAAAAATAGTAAATTATCTTTGACTAAATTGGTGTATCCTTTTCTAACTTATATTGATCGTTTTTGTTTTCTTTTGTTTTGGCAAAATAACTACTTGGATAAATATGAAGAAAATGGTAATAAAAACAAAAAGCTTGGAATTCATGCCGTTTTGGTTATCGGTAACTAGTTTTCTAAACGCATGTGTTTGGACAATTTATGGTTTCGTGCCTTACGACCCATACATGGCTGTGAGTATTTTCTCTCTTTTTCTTTCATCAAAATCTAATGATTCACCAATAAAAACTTATATTTAATATTTATGTGAAGGAAATAGAATACAATTATGATAATTGCTTATATATGGGGTTTATTTTATTATGTACTTAGTACCATTCGTTACTGGCTTGATGTTGGGGGAAATTAAAGTTATGGTCAATTGATCAATATATTGATGTCACAAATAGTTAGTGCTGGTGTAGACTTAGTTCTATATAACCTGCAAAGAGCAAGACAAGATAGGTTTAACTTTGCTTTCTTATTTGGTTTGATTCTGATAAGTCTTCATGAGGTTGATATATAGAAGAGACTTCACTTTCAGCCAATGCCTAATATTGCCACTTCAACTTAGAACTAACAGTCGTTTAATTAACAAGTTAATTAGCTGAGTCTTGGATTAGCTAAAAGTAGGGGAGGTAATTATGAATGGTAATTGTGACATATAATCATATCCCTTGGTCTTTCTGGTTGGTTTGTTCATTGGTGATGAAGGGATAAAGAGAATTATGTTCCGGTTCTTATCAGATTCTTCTTTGTCTCAAGACTCATGTGTACATTTGTTACTTCGCTTTATATATATATATATATATATATATATATATATATACATGTAGACCCATTCAAATGTAAAGATTCCTGTCATTTTCTCAATTTTTATGGATCGAAGACCTTTCTTTTCTAAATAAAAAAAAAACTATCATAGATGTTTAAATCTAGCTAGTAGTTGTGGGTGTAATTTAGAAGACAATTGACCATTGGTTCAGTCCTTTTGATGATATTTTGGATTTTCTTTTTTGAGTTGTAAATTTTAAAGGGGTTGTATTCAACCAAACATTTGGAGTGATTGAGTTTTAATAGATTTAAAGTGTTTAAAATACAAATATTTAACAAATAAATATATTTAAAAATTTCCAATAACAGTGAATTTGAAGTTATATTTTAAATCTTTAGTTTAATAACACTAAATTTTAAGCAACATTTAGGAATTTTATAAGTCTTTATAATCCAGTATTATTTCTTATATAATTCCATGATATAAGATTTGTTATTTTGATCAAATTGTCTCTTTTGTTGTTGTTTTTTTGTAACATTTTATATATTGATTAAAACTTGTGACTTTACAAAGTCATAATGGTATATTAGTAAGCTCTGATGGAATAAAATAATGAAAAAAAAACAGATGAAGTAGTTTCCAAGCTCTGATGGAACATAATAATGAAAACCATATGAAGTAGTTTCTTTTGTTGTTATTTCTTTGGAGAAAGAAACAAATGAGTAATTTTTTTACAATTATATAATGAGATTTTTCAGATACCAAATGAAATTGGATGTGTATTTGGGCTGGGTCAGTTAATATTGTATGTTACCTATTATAAATCCACCAAAATGATAATGGCAGAGAGGAAGAAGCTACCCGGCTCCATCGGTAAACTGGACTTATCCAACGCGATCTCCCAAACTCAAACAATGAGTTAAGACCATCTTTATTGGAGGATGACTCAAGGTTTATAAGTGGGCCCTGTGATTTTTTTTAGGTTAAAAAATATTTAAAAAAGTCTAGATACGATGATACGGTATCATCCCAGTCATATTTTAGAACCTGTATGATGAGAGTATCATCGGCGAGGTGGCAGCTTCTCATTTGTCGCAGGGTAATTTCTCTCTCTTCTCTTGACAAGTTTTCTCGACCATTTTGTTTCTCTTCTTCAATTTTTTTTTCGTAACGTAACTCTTCTTCTTCTTCAATTTTTGGTTGCCTGTGTTTCTCTTCTTTAATTTTCTAAACCCAAATACTGAGCACAGAATCTCTCCATTTCTTCACCACCTCTGTTTCTACACATCTCTTCCTCCATCGCTTCTTCCCACTACAGAAGCCATACGCCGCCTTGTCCGACGATGTTGACTCTGAAATCGTAGTTAGACCACCAGTGATTCTCATCTTTGGTTTCCGAAATTGAATCGATTGTTTCCTTCATCCCTACGATTTTACAGCTTACCTTCCTCCAAACTTCTCTGATCGTCGGATCTAAACCAGAGACAAAGTGGAATTTCAGAAACAGAAACATCACAGTATTAGAGTTGGAGAGACAAAATTAAATGGGTTCTTCACTATTCTAAAATTTAAAAAATATTAATAAATTAATGCTAAAAACTCTTCTTTGAGTATCAGGGATGGAGATGCCCTAACGCCATTGGATTTGGTCTTCTCATGTTATCCATCGTCCGATTATAAGACTTTTTTTTCATCAAAAACTTTAAAATGCAAATAAGATGAAAAATTTATCATGTTATACATTGTTTAATGTTGTTAGTTTTAATTTACGAGATGTATTAAACCTTCACATTTGGAGAATATGCAATTCGAACTTTTTTTTTGTTGGCTATTGAACATTTTGATTAATAAAAATCACCCTTGATGTAGTAACGAGGCTATTTTGACACAACATTAACGCAAGTGCGGCTTTAAATCACTTGATCTGTCATAAATTTTGCCCTTGTGAGGACAATAAGTCCTTTTACATTCTGTAAAGAAAAATCTTAATTTCTTCTCATAAAATTGGTTATATTTGTTTTGGAATTTATAGAAAAAAAAACAAAAAATGTCATCACGGAATCTTCGACTTGTACTTTATTTTTTTAAATTTCATCACCTAAAAAAGCGTCAACTATTAAATTCTTCAGCAGGACCCACCTCGACAACCCACAAAAAAGATACACACACGTCAGATTCCGACCTGTCAAAATCCCGTGTCCGAGATCTATTTCCAATTTGTGGTCCTGAAACTAACGTCGTGGCCCACATCTCCACCGTCCGATTCCTTCTTTACATTATTAATTAATAACAACGTACAACAAATTTTATTAATGACAAAAATAAATAACAATTAAACTCGCTCTCTCTCTCTCTCTCTCTCTCTCTCTCTCTCTCTCTCTCTCTCTCTCTCTCTCTCTCTCTCTCTCTCTCTCTCTCTCTCTCTCTCTCTCTCTCTCACTATCAGAAATCAGTTCCCGCTTCGGACCGTCAGATACGGAGAAGGACGCCACGAGTGACGTCATTACATCTGCCGCTTTTGCATGGGTCCCACGTCAGCGGATACGACGAGAGCCGTTGATGTGGCGGGAGGAAGAGGAAGAAGAAGGGACGGCTGAGATGCCTTGACGCGAAAGCTCAGTCAAAACGCTATCGGCGGATGGTGGTTTCAGCCCGAGCGGTAGCGGCAGCCACGGTTTGCTAATCGCTTCTTTGACCACTTGATCAATCATTTCCTCATCCTGACCCGACCCAATTACAACCCAACCCGACCCGGAAATCATTTAAACTTTAATTGTAACTTTTATTTCTACCGCAATATAATATATAGAGAATTTATAAAACCTTAATTACCAGCTGAGTCGCAGGAGGAGTATTGAATGTTCCGGTTATCGGAGGAGTATTGAATGGTCCGGTTACCGGTGGTCCAACCGGACAACCCCATGCATTACCGTTCACCTGAAACACGATTATATGTAATAACGATTTAGCTATATCAATTTTAACATTATACATCACTAAATCTTATTTAAATTATTAAATTTTAGTTTTATAATTTTACGACTTAAACAATGACAATGAAAAATGTTATTACTAGAATCTAATGACGTTTTCATGTTGTAATAAATCTGACTACCCTTGTTACTAGAATCTTTGACTTATATATAATAAAGAGAAATGAAAATGTTATACCGTAGGATAAGGTGGTTTCCAACGCCACGGAGGTAATTGACCGGAGGACTGAAGTGGCGGTGGCCACAACGGCGGAATTGCGCCAGGTGGATGAACACCGGGAAGACCCCAAACGGGATAAGCCATAACGGGACGGTGTTGTTGCTGAAAACCGTTATTATATTGCCGTTGATGAATTTGTCTATGGTTTTGTAAATATCTATGGTTATGATCCTCCTTTGGAAGAATATTCCTCTTATGCATCCTAAATTTCTGCTCAAAAAAACCCCCAAAAGATTCCGTCTACATATAAGCTCAAGGGTCTCTCTTGCAAGATATTCTGACACTTTTGGAGAGTAAAATTACCTGAAGGTGGCTAGCTACATTGTGTCGAGTTAAGCCGTCTACTTTCATCAGTTCAAGAATCCGTGAAGGTATCGCTTGATCGACTCCAAGTTGCTCTACCGCTTGCACAAACTTCTTGTGCAGCTCCTGTGTCCAATCCACCTTTAAGAAAAAAAGAACTCAATAATCAACTAGAACCTGAATCAGTTACCACTACTTAAGAAGTGTAAAGAGAAACCTAACACTTACCTTCTTTCGAGTAGCTTTGTTACCAGACAAGTTCTTGATCCCGGATGGTTTATTAACAGGTTTAGTATCATCTTCTTTCTTATGAAAATCAACTGAATCTGTCTTCTCGCTTTTCAGATCTCCGGTTTCTCCTTCTTGTTCTTTAAGCTCTCTGCTTTCACCTTCTTCTTCTCCTTCTTCTTTTTCACTGTCTCCTTTCTCTTCTTTGACGACTAATTCTTGATTTGTAGTGTCGACTGATTTGGATTCACCGATGTCTTGATCGTCCATGTTCTCTTTCTCTGTCGAGGAATTTATGTTCTCGTGGCAATCACCGTCTAGTAACCGTGAATCTTGTTTTAACTGTGGAGTTGATGGTGCTGGATCTTTCTCATCAGTTGTGACCATATCGGTATCGAGATGAAGCATCGAGACAACAGATTCTTTAACTGGCTTAAGTGTTTCCGAAACACTAGTTCCTCCATCATTAAATGCCTAATTAACAACATAAAAACGTAGTACTCTTTCTTAGATGATTACTATTTTACCGGAAAGATGTATAGAAGCAGAAAAAACTAAGTGAACCTTATGAACAACGTGCTGCCAAATATTCTTTAGTTTCTCCGATGAGAGCGGTTTTTGAAGGAATTCAACTGCACCAAGCTGGAAAACACTTGTCAGTTCTCATCACATTATGTATACACAAATCTATGAAAATGCACTTACCGCTATGCATTTCATTGTAGTTGTGATGCAATGATCTGTCGAAATCACTGTAAAGACAAAAGACAAATCCATATTTTAACGATCGTATTGTAAAAATTCATAGAAACTTAAAAAGGGTGCTTGTAATGGTTTCACAAACTTATAGTAGGAAGAACGTTTTTGGCAGCTTCAAGAAACTTGAAATTCTCCTTCTCGGTGGTGCTCGTATTCACGTCCACGATTGCAATGTGGAAGCCCTCCGGGTTTTGTAAAACCGCTGAGAGAGCTTCGGATTCATCAGTGAACGTAGTGACTGCAAGAAAGTTCCAAAAAAAATTAAAAAAAAAATTAAAGAACTGAATAATACAGTTTTAAAACACTCAAAACACACAGGAACCGAACAAACAAGTCTTGGAAGTGTTTGGATTCCGGTTCAAGAAACCCGGAATAACGTTCGTCAAGATGCAATAAACGCTTTTTCAAAACTCCATAAATGTAATTATGTAAACTAACAAAACTCCAAAACATAACTGCACAACATTTACTACTTCTGTTTTCCACTTTCAACCGACTAAAACGTTGCTTTTTTAACTATAATCCATCATTATACATTATAATCTTAATTTTATAATTATCCATTAATAGAGCAATGACCAACCCAAAAAAAAAAGAGAGTCGTCACGGGACATGTAAGAGCTAAAGTAGCTCTAAAATTAAACTCGTATACATCGTAAGGTCTCACTCAAATATTTGGAAAATATAATTTATTAATTTATGCTTAGCCATTAAATTATTAATATCTTTTTTAAATCGAACAAAAGCGGAAATAACAGGTTTTAGAGAGTAACAGTTGGCTCACCAATATAGTCCATAGATTCGAGCTTTGATCGGGTCTCGGCGGTGGATAATCCGTCGACATCGCCGCCGTCGAGGAGAAGAACTCTAAGTCCCTTTGGAAAATTTTCCCATTTTGATAAATCGTTAGCGGTAAAGACCATAGCTGGTTTTGCATCGTTTTTGCGGCCAACACCGCCGCTTTTCGCCGCCGTCACTGTCGTTTCCGGTGAGTTATACGGGAACGAAATCACTGTCGAGATTTTGATTAATAACACAAAAAAAAAAGAGAAAATGGAATAAGTTTTTCTTTATATTTTTAAAGGAATAATCATAGAAAAGTAAAAATACAAAAAGGTGTGTATTATTGATGAGATAAGAATAATTCATGAGGAACTTGATTTTGTTATTTAAAGAGTGGACCACCATGCCATGAAATCTAACAAAGCTTTGAATCATTTGAGAGTGAATATATTAATACTTAAATCCTTACATCTTAATTAATTTTAATTGTTGTTAACTCGTGCATGCAGTATGTGTAATTAAAGATTTGATTACTTTACCACAGACTAATGACTACCAAAGAAGGAGAAAAGCAAATCTCTAGAATTTAGAAAAATTGAGGAAGATACCCAGAGAGATAGAATTGTGATCAAATCAAAAGTTGCACTTTCTATAAAACATATTTAAGGAAATTGATTTTATCTTTTCCACCAATTATCAGAAGAAGGAGAAGATCCCAAATCCAGTGTTTCCCAGAGAAGAGATGCTCACATCACATGCAATGAAACATATAATTTACCAGAAGAGAAAACAAAGCTTTTAATTAAAAAAAAAAGAAGCAAATTTTCACAATCCAGAAGTCAAATAAAAGAAAATAAACTAAGGGTAATTTCGTATTGTTAAGGTCTCACCATACCTGAGAGTGGTTTTTGCAGATCTGCTTAAACCCCTTCCTCAAGCTCTCTGTTTCTTTCTCTCTCTCTCTCTGTCCTTAGTCACATTCAAAGTTAAATCCTTTGGGTGGACATGGTGACTTTTAGAGAGAGAAAATGGATGAAGAGTTATAATAAGTTGGTGACTGGTGTTGTTATTGTCATTGGGTTATACACAAGATACAGGGAATAAAAAGCCTCACTAGGATAAAGGTTAATTGAATTTAGGAAAGAAAAAGAGGATAAAGGTTAATGGATTTTTTTTGACTTTTTAATTAATTTATATAAATTTAATTTCCTGTAACAAAAAAAGAAAGGAAAAGCTAAACTCTCCTTAAAATCTCATTATTTCCGTACTAGCCCAATTTAATTTACAAAATAGGTATTTGTCAGATATTTTAACAAAAATTGATCTGATTCCGTGTCAAAAAAAGCGAATCCACGTTGATTTCAAAATTCCAGAGCTAATTCTATAAATTTTCCTACTTTAGTTTGTCCAATTTAGTTATACACATTTCCATCCAATCAAAATGATCAAAGAACAAAAAATTCTGATAAAATAAGTCGAACTAATATGAAAAAATTATGGTTCAATGTTGAAACTGAAACTAAACCATGCACTCCAAAATAAAATGAAAACAAACAAACTAAACCACGCAATATTCAGTTTTCATTTGGGTTTATACATTTTTTAATCCAAAAATTCAAAAACTTAAAAACTCATTAAAAAAAAAATTCTGAACTAAACATCTTTACCAAACAACAGAATTTTGTTTCTAAATTCTAACAATGCAATTTTTGGCATACTTTTAGAATGTATTCCAATCCGATCATTCGTTTGAGTTTTGCATATATGTTCGTGTGTGTAAATAATATGATGTATACAAAATTATTTATTACAATGAAAATCCAGTGCTTAGATTTATAATTTCGTCGGACCATGTATCAGAAACAGATTATATTAGTACCCTCTCCATAAAACCTTGTTTTTTCTGGTGAAATATAATTTTTAGAGATCTTGACTTTTATCTCATGGTGGTACTCTATATGTTCGTGGAAATAATGATATATGTATAATGTAGGGAAAATCTTTTGCAGAGGTTCATCTTTCAAACTCAAGTTCTTTCAAACTCAAGTTCCCCAACTTTTATGATGACATGTGTGTTTAATTTCAAAGCAACAATTAAATTTAACCAAACTTCCTATTTCCTTTTGTATATCTTACAGTAAACTTTAAATTCAACTTACAAAAAATCCAACTTCAAAATTCAAATTAAGCGAAAGCTGGTTTAGTGTAGATATGTGACTAGATAAAACAAGAGAGAGTTTCAGATTTAACCCATATTTCAAAGTCAAACACAAAATTAACCTCTTTTTTTCTCTCTCTAACTTTTGCCATTTTCTCACAATTTTATCATTCTCACTTAAACTATTAACGAAAATGCCATTATACATCTATTATTTCGATTTTTTTTTAATTTGGTTAAAGTCTCATTGGACCTTCTAAAGACCTTTTTATTACGAGAATGCCATCTTCTTCAATTTCTTCAACCACCATGAACAACCATGAAAATGGAATAAATGCTTCTCAACCAATTTTAAAGCTGTAATAAGTAAATATTTGAGCTCATTCACTCATAACTTTTCTCATTCTTTCATAATTTCTTCTCCAAAACATCTGGGCTAAGTTACAATGCCAAAAGTCATGCATTTTTGGTGATTTCTGGTTACTTAACATCTGGGTTGCTTATTTTTGGTGAAATCCTGAGTTCTGAGTGCTTAAAAGAACTGTAGCCAAGCTCAATTTTGTTAAAGGTAATCGTCGCACTTCAATTTTTCCATATTTCGGTTTTCATATCGCGAAAGTAGACTTCTCGTGAAGTATACTGAAGTCTACTAGTCAACATAAGGTTATTTTTGCAATTGACTTTTTAAAAGTAGACTTCATTAAACCTCACGAGAAGTCTACTCGATATCCTTTGAAAACAAAAAAAAAACATAGTAGACTTCATTTGAAGGCTTAAGAAGTCTACGAAAGAAAAGAGGTTATTTTTGTAGTTGACCGTATTTTGACTTTTTAATGTAGACTTCTGTCTAAAGTCTACTGTTTACGTCTGCACAAGAAGTCTACTTTTAAGTTACTTTTGTAGTTTGACCAAAAACGTATAGGTCATTTTAGTGTTTGACTAAAGTTTTTTAAAAAATAAAAAATTCAGAAAACTCCGGAAAGCTGCAGTAGACTTCAGAAAGAAGTCTAAAAACTGTAGACTTCTTTGGGAAGTCTACTTATATTTTTCGGTCAAACTTAGAAGGAATCTTTTTTTTAGTAGACTTCACAGTGAAGTCTAATAAAAAAATTCAATTGCAAAAATAACCTATTTTTTCCGTAGACTTCTATTGAAAAAGTAGACTTCAAAAGTAGACTGTCAGAGAAGTCTACTCTTGCATAAAGTCTACAATAGAAGTCTACTTTGTTAGTCAATGGCTCGGTCAAATGCTAAAGTAACCTTTTTGGCCGGAAGTCTATTTTTGATGTCTACTGAAGGAAAAGTCAACAAATTGGTCAAATGCAAAAATAACCTGTTTTTAAGTAGACTTCTTTAGTAGACTTCACTATGAAAAAGTAGACTTCTCAAAGAAGTCTACGTTTGAAGTCTGCTGTAGAAGTCTACGTATTGCAGTTTTTTTTAAAACGCATTTTAGGCAAATTTATAAAGTATTTTTTATTTTTTTGGATTAGAAATGCTTTTTAGTAAGTGATTGAACTACCCAGTGAATTTCATTTCATTTCATTTGATATTTATTGCTGAATCAGAAGTTTTGATTTTTAAGCTACTTAGCTTATCAAAGTAGACTTCAGTAGAGGAAGTCTAATTAGGAAGTCTACTTTTTGTATTTATTTAAAAAACGCATATCTTAAATATTTATAACGTTTTTTTAAAATTTTTAGGTTTTGACATGCGTGTTAGCAATTGATTGAATTACTCAATGACTTTCATTTGATTTAAATCGATATTTATTGTGGAATCAAATTTTTTTATTTATAAGCTAGTTAGCTTGTGAAAGTAGACTTCATTTGCAATCTACAAAGTCTTCGAATGAAGTCTTTTGTGTAAAAAAATGATACTTATGTATTTGCTATAATATAATTTTTGTAATTATGTTTGCTAATGTCATTTTTTATGTTTTCTTACAAAACTACCAATTAAATATGTTTGTGTTATATTTATGCTTCAATTTTTCTTGTGTTATTAGACTTACAAAAATTTTCAACCCTATCATCTAATACATATTATACTACAACACTTGATTATAAAGTGACTACAAGCTCAAAAAAGGCACATAGTAAAAGAAGCAAACTTTGCAAACATAAATTGTTTGTTTCCTTCGGGTACAAAAGCTTTGTAATTGAATTAGCAAAATCATTTCCTCCAATTTCAATCATGGCGTCAACTTCCTCACTTTAAACAAATTATATATCAAAATATCAAGCATGTAATCAGAAGAGAATTAGATAAATACAAATAAAATACATATGTTCATGACCATTACAAGTTGTTAAAGATACAATACAGTTTTATGATCATTACATACAAAACAGTTTTATGATCATAACTGGTTTCATCACGGGTAACCATGGAAGCTTCTTCTCAGTTTTTGTGCAAGAGAATGTAAGGTTCCACTGAAGCTTCTAGTTGTTGCGTTACCAAGCCCCAATGTTGCTTATACCAAAAAAGATCAAAGATCAGCCAAATAACCCAAAATCAACAGAAGATGGAAAATTCAGTTACCACACATGTAGAATCTACGATTAGTTACCACACAATGGATCTAATTTACCTCGTCAACAATGGATCTAATTTTCCCTTCATCCAAGAGATTTCCGGAGATCTGAAATACAGTGACAGGTTATAAGATACCAGTTTTCCAATGCTTTAGAGGCCTGTAGTAAAGATTTATTCAAAATTAGCTCTTTATTACATACCCTAAACCTAAGGACAGCATGAAAATAAGGCCACCTGAAAAGTAACATACTCTACGCTAATAACAAAAACCAGTAAGATTACCAAAGTAAATGCAGCACTGTCAAATGGAAATGCTGAGACAGACTCAAAGATGCACAACAAAAGGACAGTTCAAAACAAGCTTTTTTATTACATACCACAAGTTTAACCAAAATTGATAATGAAAAGTTACCTGCAAGCACCCGTTGATAGCTTCCAACATACTCACACAGATCTCTGTATCAGGTTCCTACACCATGAAAAAAGGATCAAAGCCAATAAATAATCAACAAAACACAGACTAACTTTATGCAAAGCTTCTAGCATGGCCGGAATAATGTAGTCTGAAAGCTGCTTCAGATAGGATAGATCGAGCCCTTGAGATATTCCTTTCTGCATCAAAAGATGGAATTAGTACAAATTACCACACATCCATACGCGATGAACTCATAATCCCTCTGTTTTACCATAGGTTATGCTTGAGACATCATAATCAGAGAAAGTGTAAAGACGAAGGAAACCTATATCAGTTTATAAATAAAATATAGGCCTAGCATGTTGTAATCAGAATTCACCTGTAACATGTAACTCGTTATTGGCATCTGCCTCCATCTCAGACCCTTGCAATGACATAAGCACTTCCATGACCTAGCGTGGACATGTAAAAGAATTATCATGCAAGAGATGAAAAGAAGGAAAATAATATAGAAAGCTTGTCGGCTAGGCCTGGGCAAAAAACCCAGATCCGAATATCCGAACCGGAACCGAACCGAAATGGAGGTACCGAATTCGAACCAAAATTTTTAAAAATATCCGATGGATCTTAAACTCTTATACCCGAAGAACCGGAACCAAACTAGTACCGAACCGAG